CGCTCTTCCCAGCCTGTCTCTTCATCTTCCAAGGACTGATACCCACAGTAGTGGTCTTGAGGAGGCAGTTGGAAGAAACTAAGGCTGGAGGATCATTCCCTTTTATAGTTTTGTCCTCACTTTTACCATCAGAACTGCATTGCCGGTACTATCTAAGAGTCCATCTTGAATTTGAATTACAGATTAGCAATTTCCTATTCCCTTTAATCTTTCACTTGCAATCTTAGAAGTTACATTTGAAATACTACGTTTAAACATTCAGTGCATGCAAATAACCAATTCTGCTTTTATCTGAGAGACTTTGTGTGTCAGTTCAAGAACTCCTAAATGGTAAGAGTTAGGAGAACCAAATTCGCTATACAGCTTCCTCTTGTTGTAACTTAAAATAAGGTAAGGGTTTGGTTGTGCTAGGAAAATGGAATATGCCTGCAATGGGATTGCTTCTTGTATTACCATACCAGAAGAGAGAAAGAGAATCACCAGGTAGGGGCTATCTGAGGGTGCAGAGCAATGATTTAAATAAAGAAAAACAGAAATTGAATTAAGGACCCAAGCAACGTTGGGTAAATTTTCTATTAGAATATAACACTTAAATTAAGTGGTAAAATCAGAATATTGCATTCAGATGATTTTAAAGAACTTATGTGAAACAAGTTGATGTGATCAGAAGATTTTTTTTTTTTTTTTTTTAAAAGCAGTGCACAGGAGTTTTTAACACTCTCACTTAATGTGGTCAGAATAACAATGTGACATGTGTTTCCAAGATCTAAAACAGCAGTGTACAAAATAATTCTTTTACTGTCTGTCTTAGTGCATGCAGGATATGGGAAATACGAAGGCAAGGATACTCTACGAAGCTAATCTACCAGAGAACTTTCGAAGACCACAAACAGATCAGTATCCTTTTTCTGTTCTAAAGCTTTCAAATTCAAGGAACATTTGTATAACCCAAGGGTTACATAACTAGATGAAGAGTTTGATAAACATGTCAATTTCATACCAACCTTAATTAATGTTGATTTTTTTTATATCGTTTTGTGGTGCCTAACTACAAGCATTGAAAAATGGGAAATGATTCAGAATATATAAACTATCTGAGGTGTAGCAAACCTTCTGTACGGTAAGGAACTTAATCTATTTATCGTCTGAAAGGGTAATTAAAAACTCATAGTGTATAAGTACCTTCATAGGGAGAAGATTTCTGATAGAGCACTTTCAGGTGTTATGCCTTTCTCATTTAGAACAAATTGCTGGAAGCTAAAGTTGAGGGGGGGGGGGGGTGCAATGAGGATAATTCACCATTGTAACTTACCAGTGGAAATAGTGGTTTCTCCCTCACCTTTTGTGGTTTTAAATCAAGATTGAAAGTTTCTTTTAAAATATATGTTTTAGTTCAACCAGAGGTTATAGGACTTGATACAGAATTTAGTGGTTGAAACTGACATATTTCATGCAAAATGCCATAGCAGATCAAGGATGTGCAATTTCAAGATATTAGGAGATTTCCAGAATCTACTAAGAGTGATCCAATTTGCTGCAGAATACAGGTTTTGGTAAAGCTATTGCTTCCTTAAAAGACTTTGCTTCCCCATAAACATGGGGTCTGACACCTCCATGCACACCACCAGCTCCACTTATTGTCTGCACACTGGCTGAGAGTTTGGGAGCTGAGAATCAATTACCAGTAGTTTCTGACCAGTTCCTTTTCCAACACTGGGGAGAGGCAGGGTACACCTGCAGTAATTGGAAGGAAGTAACTAGAACTAGGTGGCATAAGATGGAGCCAGAACCTGTGTCAATAGGGGGCCAGTGCATGGGCCTGATAATGCCTGTATCCTAACAATACCTGTATCCATGGGAGAACAGAATGGAGGCAGGGAATGGGACAAAAGGACCTTGTGTGCCAGGTCAGAGCCACTGAAATTTGGCTTGGCTGTCCCTCCATGCCAAAGGGCTCTACGTTTAGGTCATCAGGTTGTTAGTACTTCACCAGAAGCGCTGACTCTATGGGAATAATAAGGCTGGAACACCCACAAAGTTTAAAAACCACAAGACTATATTAATTATATATCTCAAACAAAATATCAGCTATGCATAACAGCAGGGGGTTTACCAGAGTCAGTGACGCTTGGGACGATTGATGGTTGCTGGCGACCTCGGTCTTTGGTCCTTTTGGGACTCAGACGAGGAACAGTCAGGAGTCCCTCGTTGGAAGAAGATGTTGAGGCTGGCGACCTCAATCCTTTGGCTTTTCTGAGCCTCGGGAGAGGAACTGCCAGGAGTCCCACGAAGAACTGGAATAGAGAGCGACGATCGCCTTCCGCAGGTCATGCCTCTTCCTGCTCTTTGGGGGCAGCTGGAGCAGACGATGGAAGTTAAACCCTAAACTGCTATGCCCTAAACTTATCCTAAAAATTAAACCCTAAACTATCTCCCGATGTGCCCGCCGTACAGACTCGATGACGGCCAATAAGCGGTTCCCGACGCGGCCTAATGGACAGACTCGATGACGAGAGATAACCTAACTAAAATACTAAACTAACTTAAATCTAAAGTGGAAAGACATAGACCTTCCGTCTAGTCACTTCCTTAACTTATCATAGTGCATTTGCTCTAATCAGTCACGCTCGGGACAGCACGATCCAACCACCAGGTCTCTCATACCACTAACCTAGCCTATGCCTGACCCGACGCAACGCCCACCGTATGCGTTGCGGAGGCTTTTATAGGCTACAGTCATGCATATGTATGAGGACTTAGATTTAAAACGGTTGGCTGGTGGAGGACGCTAATTTACATAAGTTTGAAATGATTGGTCTTTCTACACATTAATACATTATTCAGGAGACAACGGTATTCCTTATGAATATTCATCCAGTCAACTGTTAGACTGATGAATATTCATTTACAGTTGGTCAGATTTTTAAAAGACCGCATTCGCACAGTCAGCATGACTCAGCATTATACATATATGATGACATATGTGACAGATCTTAAGCAACACAGCTTATTCAGTTTACATACATATGACTCATTAACATTAATTATACATAGTTAAAACAGATGCTCATTACAGGTGTTATTACAGATATCATGTCAGGCATTCATTTAATATGCAAGCATTTATTTAACATGCAGTTTATTCCAATTCTGTCAGCAGCAGTTCATGTTCACTGTTGCTAGTCACAGTACAAGCTATTAGGGATTTTAAGAGGCAGGTTATCGGGTAATTGTGTAGTTGATACAATTTGTATCAATTAGGGAAGGTGTTCAGAAGGGACTACTCCTGCTGTGGCTCTGCAGTTTAAATACAGTAAGAGCTAGGGAAAGAGGCTCTTTCGAAAGATACTTTCGAAAGAGCCTCTTTCGAAAGATAGCGTCTAGACTGCACGTGGAACTTTCGAAAGAGCAAGCCGCTTTTTCGAAAGAGAGCACCCAGTGAGTCTGGATGCTCTCTTTCGAAGAAGCCCTATTTACATTCAAGAACGCCTTCTTTCGAAAGAAGGCGTTCTTCCTCGTAAAATGAGGTTTACTGCCGTCGAAAGAAAAGCCGCGTTCTTTCGATTTAATTTTGAAAGAACGCGGCTGCAGTCTAGACGCAGGTGAAGTTTTTTCGGAAAAAGGCTACTTTTCCCGAAAAAACCCCAGAGTCTGGACACAGCCTAGGTGCTCAGGCAGCCCAGCTCCTACTACATTTAAATTGCAGAGCTGCAGCGGGGATAGCTCATGGACCCAGCATGAGCCAGGACTGAGCCAGGCTTGTTCAGTCCTGGGTCACGTTGGGTCTAGATGTCCCTGTCTGCCGGGGGTCCCAGCAGTGGGAGTGAAGCTGGCCGCAGACAGGGGCTGCTTTGCTGAAGCAGTTCCTACCTGCAGGAGAGGGGGTCCCATTTCCCTTTGGGGACCCCCCCTCCCGCAGACAGGGACTGCTGCCAGATTAGCCTCCCCTGGCCCTCCCACATTACTGCTTCTAATAGAGGCAGCAGAGTGTGTGTGTTGGAGGGGGGAGGGGGCGGAAAGTGGCACTGAGGAGACTGTGCTGGGGGGAGGGGGGGGGATGCCTTTTAAGCCAGCTGCCTCCAGCACTGGCTTCTGCTTTGGGGGGGGGGGGGGGGAGGGGGGAGGTTTGCAAGTAGTCGAGTCAACTACCTGATAAATCTAGGCTTATTGGGTAGTTGACTAATCTACTCCTCTTTTACATCCCTACAAGTTATTACATATTGCTGAGAATTTTTCTATATATTTATAGGGCTTCTGTAAATTCATGCTTTGTGTCATATTCTTGCTCAAAATAAAATTATAGCCACAATCAGGCTAATGGGAAATTGGTAATAAGTGCTGTGTGGTATGAGGTGGAGCCCCACCCTTTCCTGAGTGACAGGAAGATGGTTGAATCAATGAGTGACATTGGGACTCTGCACATAGGGGTCCTACCCCCAAGCCCTGGGATCTGATCATCTCTTTACCCCCTGCTACACTTGTCAGTTTAAATACTCTGACGGGTGCTCTGATTTGTGTGGGTACAGATTCTAATTAGCTGGTCAATTCTAATTAGCCGGTGCATTGCACATCTCCTCTCCTCCCCAAAGTATTTTCACCAGCTGCCTATGGGCATGCCAAATAAAACCATCTGTATTATGCTTAGACCCTAACCCTAAACCATCCCTGCATTAGATGATGATTTTGATATCCCAGGTTGGTGTCATGTATTCTAGATTAGGCAGAACTGAAAAGTCCATCAAAAGAAGAGTTTTTATCACAGTAATGTTTAAAACAGAATGCACCATCTTTCCTTACCTTAAATAAGGTGGTTCTTCAGATGATGTTCCCATGGGTGCTCCACTGTAGGTGACGGGTTTATCTCCAGAGCTGCAGTTCAGAGCTTTTCCTAGCACTTGACAGTTGGGCCACATGTATGGAAGGTGCCTCACACCATTGTCAGTTTAGTGCCTTGCATGCACAGACCAATTCCCCCCTCCCCCTTTCAGTTCTTCGCTTACCTCCCTGGGTCGTGAATGGAGCTCATATTTTGCCTCAGGTGTTTATTCTCCTCATGCAGCCTCACAGTTTCTTCCTGACTCCTTTATCAATTCCTGGTGTCTTCTTCAGCTCCCCGGACTTGCTGAATATGATCAGGGGAGTGTGTTTTTCCCTCACAACACTCCTCTCCTATGACATCTCATCACTACCATCAGTACCATGGAAGACTACCACCCGCCATGGTACCTGGAGTGGTCATACCCTCCTCCCCATTACCCACCTTGATGGGCCCCATGGGACCTCTGGGAGTTTGAGATGCTGCTACACGCCCTGTCTACTCCAGCAAGGAGGCTTCCATCAGCCTCTCCATCCCACACCCTCTCGACTACGGTTGACTCGGAGAAAGAGGAGGGTCAAATCCTAGATAACATCAAAGCACAAGCTCCAGAGAGCGTTCTTAGAGACAATTCAGCTTCACCTCCTTATGACGCTGTAGTTCCAGAAGACATGCACACCTCTGATTACTTGAAAGAATTCCAAGAACTTTTTAAGAGCGTGGCCACCACCCAGGAAGTTTCCCTCCTAGACACAAGAGAAATAGCATTGCCTCCTGAAGAACATCCCCCCCCCCTCTTATCAGGGAAGGATTGCTCTACCAATCGGTGAAGCCATTATGGAAGTGTCAGATGACATATGGTAAACACCCGCCTCCATCCAGCCAACTTTCAAAAAAGGCGACAAAGTACTTTGTTCCTGCTAAAGACCTAGACTTCCTTTTCTCCCATCACCCACCAAATTCCTTAATAATAGAGGTAGAAAACCAATGCTCGAAAACCCCTCAATTCAAGGTGGCACCCAACAACAAAGAACATAAAAAATTAGGCCTCTTTGGGGAAAAAAATATATTCTTCAGCCAC